TTCAAACTCAATTTCAAATATGTGAGAAAATAATCACTTTTAAATAAAAATTTTATTTTCAATGTCAAACTTGTGTGAATTTTCTTCTACATCAATCCAATATTTGATAAAATAAAATCTCGTAATTAAAGTCCAAACTTGTATTTATTGATTAACTATCATTTCAAAACTGGCAACGCTAATTTCACAAAATAAAATAGTCTAATTAACAAATTATCTAATAATCACATTATTGTTATAAACAAAAATGATTTACATAAAAATGTAATATTTTAGGGAAGGAAATTTTATTAAAAAATCAGTTGGACGCTATCCATTTATATGAAATTCCCAAAATTAAAATTTTACCTCTCCACTTTAATCATTTCTTCTCTTTCAAATATTCTATAAACCATATTAAAATTTTATTCAAATCTCAGACAGCACAATAATTCCTTTTCAACATTCCTACATATAATCAATTGTAGCATTTAAATATTTTCTCAACAAACTATCGATCTTCAAGAATTTCAATAATCACATAATATTCTCTCAACTTTTAAGTTAAATTTATAAATTAACATCTAAGCTAATTCTACTTCCCACAAGAACCAATAAAATTTTAATATTAAGTTCAATTCTTCTAACAAGCATTTCAACAAACATCTCATAAGCACCAATATTTAAGTTTATATCTAAGCTATTCTCTTTCAATTTCACCGCAATAAATTTTTCAATATCAACCAAACTAAATAAAATTAATTTAACTCCAAAATTATGACCCATATGTATGTGTATTGTTACCAAGCTTTAAAATAAATTCCCAACTCAAATTTGAATCTTCTCCTTACATCAGTACAAGCAGTAGCAGAACAGGCACAAAAATTTTGTAATTTTAGTCATCAACTCACACTCTCTCACATTGGCTCTCAATAATTCTCGCCTTAATCACCAATAACAGCAGAGGAGGAAGAGAACAAGAGACTGCCAGCCGAACAAAGAGAGAGGACGAGATTTACAGTTGAACAAGGAAGAGGGAATCATAAATTCTTGTCACTCCTAACATGAACAAAGATTCAGAACAAGAAAAAGTGAGAGAAATGTGAAGTGCTTCACCTTAGATCCATGGTAGAAGCAAGGAGAAAGGAGATGGTTTAGATGGCTGCACAGGGGAGAGGGAAAACCAAACACAGCTCGCAAGAGAGGAAGGAAACTAAATCAACAGCACCAGACCAAGCTTGCGATAGCACCACCAGCAGCTCCTGCAACTCGGTTTCACACCCCCATTAGCAACCTTAAACACAAATGATGAAGACAGAACAAAAATCAAAGAAGACAAACAGAGTCAGGGAGACATGATGGAGGACCTGAGCTTTGCACAACTGCGACGAGGCTCCACTTCAGCCGGCGACCACCAGAAATGGGAGAAGAGACGAAGTGCAAAGGAAAGATGGAGAAATGGCTGAATCAGATCTTCTCTCTCCTCACAGATTTGGAAAAATTGAGTAAGAGGAGGAAACATGTTCACATTTGAAGGAGGGCAATTGGTAATTTCATAGAGTGGGGAGAAAAAAATTAAACGTCCCCTCTGCCCTCGATCAGATTTGAACGATCTATTGAACAAATACTTGCACTGTTACCACTATACCAACTTTCCTCCTTATCACACTTATCTCAAAAATTAATATAATTACCATTAAAATACAATATTACATATTAAATTTTTACTTAAGATTACAGGGTTATGACAAAATAAAATAAAAATTTTTTAACTTCAATCTTTCTCAAACATCACATCAAACACTCTATAAATATTTCAAAGATAAAACTTTAATATTTCTCAAAAATCACGTTTAAATATGCTTTAGTTAGTCAAAATATACTTCAAAACTTTATCACATTCAAACCACTTACAAATTACCACCTACAATCTATCTTGATCCTTAAAGAGTTACTCTCAAAAGGTTTCAAAACACATCCTTCTAATAGTTATACAATATTCACACACTCACCTATTTATTTGTGTATAATAATACAAACACAAGTGAACCAAAGACTAAAATTAATTATGATTAATTTAGTAAGGTTTTGCCACTCATTTGAACAAAATTTTTCACTTAAAACATTCTAACTTATGTGCGAGACAAAATAAACTAATGTAATAAACTTTTTACTTTCTCAATCTTTTATTCAAGCCACGTAAACAGAACAACAAATCTTCACATGGCTTACTAATTCCTAAATTCATTCTTCAAATTAAATCCTTTAATTTATAAACATAATGTATATTTGAAAGAGAAGGGAAAAAAAATCAGATTATATTATTTAGCCATTTATCAATGCACAACCAAAGAATGCAAGAATAAGACCTCATAGTAGAAGCTCTTCCCCCCTCAACAATTTAGCTAATCAAAGCTCTACTGCTCTATTTTTTCCCCTGCTGTTGCAGTGCAAAACGACACAAACAGGGGAGGAGGAGAGAGATCTGGTGACGCTGAAACGAGGAAGAACTCGTAGACAGAAATAATCACGATTGCCAGTGTTGGACAAGAACAATGAAGGGAGAGGAACGATGGAGAAACAAGGATGAAAATGAAGCTTCTAGATTCCAATCACTTGTCTCTCTCTCAACGTCACGTCGCTAAGGCAAAAATGAAGATGGGGATGATATACTATCATATGTTGCCATGTGTGCGTGCTGCATACTGTTTTTTTTTTTTTTTAATATATCGATGGCATTTCAATATTTACGTAACATCAAAAAGTAAAATTTCTTTAGTTCAAAGAATATTTGAACCCAAAACCTTGTGATAGGTTGCACATAAGATTCCGACTACAAATCCCTCTCATCTCATTTACTCCCAAAACTTTAAGTAAAATATAATTAAGTTTTTTAATTCTACTAAAATTTCTAAGTTATTACAATTTAAGTCAAAATATGAAGAAAAATTAATTATTTTATTTCAAAATTTTCTAAATTTACATCAACTTCTCCGCTTAAATAAAATTTATTACATTGTTTGAAATTCTTGAAATTTTTTTTTTGGTCATTACATTGGGGGTGGCAGTTTTATCAAATCTATTAGGATCATGCTACGTATGAAGTAGGGAGACTCCTTGTAATGTAGTCTTTCATGAACTCTGCACTAAAAGCAAAGGAAGTGAATTTAATTTCAAAGAATGTCAATTTGGTAATATATATATATATATATATATATTTAACGTACTTCAGTTTTTTTAAGTGAAGTAGTTGCGAGATTTTGTGTTCATAGTTTCATTAAATGGATAAAACCATTTCTCAATACAATATACAATTAAAAACTAAAATTTAAGATCCATTCATGCTCAAATTTAAAATACTATAAGTTGGACACTTAGCAGAAAAACTAACTATTGTTTAGCGAGATAGGAGGCAATGTTCTTCAACTGTTAATTGAAAATCAAGCATCTGGAGCAATTGTAAGCAACCAGCTAGATTTAGAAACTCAAGAGAGGCCCTTTTTCTTGCCCAACAAAATTGAAGAGTGGTTTGGTCAAATAATTCATTTGAAATACTGATAATCAGACTTGTGCAGTTTCTCAAATTTAGATGCTTGAGCCTTGAAAGCTGTACAATAATCAAACTGTGATGGTGAACTTCATCCTTCAAAATTTAACCCCTCAAGATTTGTAAGCAACTCAAATGAGGCAATTTCTCCATATATTTAGGGTGTGTTTGGTTTAAAACCCAAACCTTAGTTTGGGTGGTCCAAAAAACTGATATTTGTTACTCATTAAGGTTAGGTTGAGATATAATGCTGAAGCATTCCATGCAATTCAAATTTTTTTTTACCAACAGTTAATTTATTTCAATTTTTAAATTTAAAAATAATACTCTCTCTATCTCAAATTATAAAACACTTTTAGATAAAATTTCACATATCAATAAATCTCATTAAATACATTTAACAACCTTATCTTTCCAAAATAAAAATATAAACTTCTCAAAATACTCATAATTTAATATATTAAAAAGAGAAGGGATGAAAATTAATTATAAAGAGAGAAAGGGTGATATTAGAATTGGTGCATTTAATGAAATCTTAATTTACTCAAAGTGTCTTATATTTTAGGATAAAAAAATTTCTTTAAAAATACCCTATAATTTGGGACAGAGGGAGTACTTAATTATATATGCACTCTCTTTTATTTTTAAAATCTAATTTAAATTTTAATATTTTTCTTTAGAGAGATCAAATTAAACACAAGGAAAAATTATATATAGGTCTCATGAAGCAAACTTATTAACAAATAAGTCTCATAAAATTCAAAAGCCACAATTAGGACTCTTGGGATTTAAGTATAATTTAAAATTAGAATAAAAAGACAACAATGCCTCTATTAAACATATATATATATATATATATATATTATATTAGTCAAATAATTTACAACTACTTTATAAGTAATTTATAATTATAATTTTAACTTTTTACAATTATAACTTTATATATTCAATAATTAAATTAATTATTTTAACTATTAAATATGTGAATTTACAGATGTAAAAAGTTAAAGTTACAGTTATAAATTACTGATAAAGTAGTTATAAATAATTAATATTAAACTTTGTTAGTAACACATGATTGTTTGTCTATTTGATATATAAAGTTACAATTATAAATTATGATGAACTAACTATAAATTAATTATTTAATTGATGTAATATATGTTTAATAGACGTATTATTATTTTTGTAATTTAATTTTAAATTTTACTCAAGTCTCAAGGGACTTGATTGTGATTTTTAAATTTTTTAAGATTTTTTACTAAATAAATTTGCTCCATGGAACTTATACATAATTTTTCCTAAACACAATATATATATATATATATAAAATAAAATTTATATTTTTTTATTATTGTACATCTAAATTTATTTTTGAATTACATCATCTAAATAAATTTCAATATGTTAATCTACGCTTTTAAGAAAAAAAATATCAATAGACTGTATGTAACATGGACTACACGACAAATAATTTGCCTGTCAGCTCTGAATCTATTGTCTTTTGCTAAATTTATGTGGCTGACTATCACATTGTAAAATAATGTGTCCAAATCTGAGACACCATAAATAATGTATGTGTTTGGATATAATTATAAAATAGAAATGCTCCATAACAAAGGCAAATATTATGTATTAATGCGATTTACGAAATTCCAACCCAACCTTTTGTCAAACCGCTTATCGCATATTGGCTCGAGCATATTCCTTAGTTTTGTCGCCAACGATTGATCTCATCTTTGAAAATAACTCCTCCATTAACCTTTGTCTTCTCATTTGCAATAACCAGAATGGTATCGTTGGAGTGAATGAACTCGTGGAAGCTTTCTCCTAAAGTGAATCATATAATATATAAGTTAAGTACTTAATTTATCTTCAAAGATAATTAATCATAAATTTAACTACTTACAATCTCTTCAGTAATTGCTGCAGCCTTCCATTTTTTATAATGAGTTCGGTCCGATGTTGATGCTTCCTCCATTTTCTGCTTTTCTTCGCTGGGGTCGTCACAGTGAGACATTGAAATTACTTCAATTCCAACAGATTAATTAGTCTAAGAAAAGACAACGTGCTTTTGCTCTGTGGAAAATGCCAGCCCGATTTAGAACTTTAAGACGGCTTTTGATTTTCGCCCTTTTCTTGACCGACAACAATACTTCGCTCGACCGGGGGCCATCACAGTGAGACATTGAAATCACTCCCATTCCAACACTTACAGGGCCATTTAGATTTCAATTAAATATAATTAATTATTGATTAATATGATTAATTTTAATTATAATTAATTGTATTATAACACAATCTATATGAATACTAAAATTAATTTTAACTATACAAATTACTATTAAAACATTACTTTTTAAAATTAAGTCATTGATAAAACTGTATTTAATATTATTAAACGTGTTAAACTTTATTTAAAAAATAAAATATATTATTTAATAATAAAATTGAATCTATAAGCATTCTTTCAGAATTTATTTTAAAATATGATTCTGACTCAAATAATTAATTATTAAGATTCTGCTGTTTAGGTAATTATTATGAAAATTAATTATTTGACCAAAGTAATCGATTTGTTGGCCTTCCCAAACAGGCTGTTAATTAGTCTAAGACAACTTACTTTTGCTCTGTCAAACCAGGCAGCCCGACATAGTACTTCAGGGGAGCTTTTGATCTCTGCTTCCACCAACAACGTTACTTCGCGCGGCTGGGGGCCATCACAGTGAGACATTGAAATCACTTCAATTCCTACACATTAATTAGTCTAAGAAAAGACAACTCACTGTTGTTACTTACTTTAGGAAACGTCAAACATTGGGCAAATTTGGAGCAGCCTGCCAGATTTAGAGATTCAAGAGAGCTTTTGCCAAATAATTCATTTGGAATACTTTCTAGATTTGTGCAGTTTCTCAAATTCAAAAAATTAAGCCTTCTCAGATACGCAATAGAAGGATGAAGCTGCACTAATGAAGTGCATCCTTCCAAGTCTAACCTCTCAAGACTTTCAAGAAATATAAAATTAGGTGTCTCCTTCAGATCTTTAGAGCCACAGAGGTTCAAGCTCGTTAACCACGGAATCTCTTCCTGGATAGAAAATCAAACGATCATCAAATTCTGATTCACTCAAAAAATTAAAAGAAATTAAGCAAAACTTTGTTGATAATAATCAATTTAGTTTTGATCGATATAAGGGAAAGAAAATTATTAATACCTCTTGGTCTCTCCATAGTTGTGTCATGTTGCTATTTGGCATGATCAATTCCCCAAGATATGTTGGATTAAAATTTGATGGCAAGTAATGAAACGGATATTTATTCAAAGATATGTTAAGTTGTCAGAAAGATCACTCAAACTTCTTGAAAATTTCACACCGCTTAATATAAGAATTCTAAGTCCCTTCATTTTTGACAAACCTTTGATGTTTAACGTTCTCCATTGTGGATGTTCTTCATTATTTGAGGCTACTATGACTTCAACACGATTAGTTCCCTGGATATAAACGTATTACATGAGCAAATTGAAAATTATTAATAACTATCTATATATAAACACAATGAATAAGCTTAATATTCTAATTCCTAAAATATATACGTTTCATCTATATAATCTTTGAAACATAATTAGCATCAAATCAATATAAAGGCTTCGTTAACTCTATTGATTGGGCCATTTGTTAATACAGTTATTAAGGTGAACAGAGTTAACTTAATTATGTCCATGCTGTCCAAAATGCCATTAGTTTGTGTTATATAGTAAGCATCCAGATGGATTTTTAACCATCCCTATCAACTCCTAATACTTTAAGATGTGTTTCATATTTAATTAAGACTCTTTTACAATAAGGATACATAAATAAGGATCGTGTTTTGCAATATATTTTATCTAAGTTGGGGGATATTTCATGAACAAAACTAACAACATAATAACTAAAGGGCTAAACTAATAATTTACTTTTAAGACTATTAAAGCACGAAGAACTTACAGTGTTTGTCTCCATAATATGACAAAAATCTGCATAACTCCATATCCTACTCCGCATTCCAGGCTGAGAAGATTCACGTTGAACAATTATTTTTGCCAATTGTTATAGGATAGATTGTACTTTTATTATTTGATTTGATATGATTATCAATGACTTATCCGTAAGCCTGTTGAGCATGAGTGCCGCCTTAAAAAACATGACCAAGATATTGCGTTCGTCAATCTGTCCTTTGACCTGCAAAGCAACATGCAATATCCAAGAAAGCTTTTCTCTGTTCAAATGAGAGTCCATCAAAACTTTTTTGAAGCACCGTGATGATTGAAAAGTCAAGATCTGTTTGCAGCTTGGTCAACACACTTTTCCACTCTGAGACACTTGGACTAACCAGCGATGAACTCACTGATTTAATAGCTAACGGAAGGCCATCGGCAAATTTAAGTGCATCAAAGGTCAGTTCCTCATAACCTCTCATTGGTTTGTTACTTTTGAAAACAATTTTGCAGAAAAGTCGAAGAGCTTCTTTTTGATTCAATAGTTCCACCTTGTGAATTTCATCTACTCCAAGATACCTAAGGAGTTCCTCATCTCTGCTTGTTATGATAATTCCACTTCTTCCTCCGAACAACCCTCTAATCCATCCTTCATCTAAAAGTCCCTGCTGCTCTACATCATCAAAAACAACAAGTATCTTGTAGAGTCTTAGGCTTTTAGAATATTGAGGTTCAAATTCTTCTGGGAAAGCTATCCGAAGAAATGCCTCTTTTAACATGTCTTTGTTACTTGGAATGGAGATGAAATAGGCAGAATCAAAACGGTGGGAGATTTTGTTATAGACATCTCCGGCAAGAGCTGTCTTCCCTACTCCCCCCATCCCACTAATCCCTACAACTCGCACATCATCCTTTGAACCTAACTTCAGAATCTCAATTAATTTTTCTACACGATCATGTCCTATCCCAACTGTAGCTATTTCTCCTGATATATCTATTTTCTTTGCATCATATAGACTTGATATCCTGTAGAAGAGAAGAAGAATAAGAGTAATTTAGCAGTTATTGTTTCATATAGGCATGAGTGCGTACGAGATTTCGAATATTGTTTCTCTGTCCACACGCGCAAGAAAGGACTGATCAATTTACTCACAATTTTGTTAAATAATGTTACTCACCGAGCACGCTTTTCACGCAAAATGTTGTCAATATGTTTCTCAAGAATATTACCAATAATCTGAAGTCGACCGCTCCTGAATAAGATGGAAGAAAATAAAATTAGTCCTACTAACAGAGTGAACAGATGTCAATTGGATGAAGACGATTGCTAACATGAAATTGAGTGCACGTTAAATTTCTATAAAATTAACTTAATCCTGCAGAAATAATAACTTTACTTACTAGGATAAATGTTTAATTTTGTTGAATTAAAAAAATTTCTATGCCAAAGGACGAGTTGATAATTTTGGCAGACGAAACTCAAGAACAAATGTATTTCCAAGCTAGGAGCTACAGGACGAAGATCAAATGATAATTAAATCAATCATAGTTTATTCCTTTTCTCTACTTCAATTTATCCTTAAAAAGCCTTTCAAAGGAAGAAACTTAAAAAAAAAAAACAAGAGAAAAGAACAGAAAAATTAGATAAGAAGGTCTTACTTATCACGAACCGCCAAAGCTGTTGTTGAACGTCGTAGCACCCACTTTCCCAAATAACTTCCCCAATATACTTGAAAGAAGGCCGGCTCCAAAAAATTGGCAGAAAATTTACACATCCCTCTAAGCTTTTCTCCAAGTAGTATGGTTGGGCCTCACAATTTTTTGAGATGATAAAAACACAAAGCTTGTATTTGTCCATGGGAGCTTGAGCAATCGAATCTTGTGACGCCGTAACTATACCATTTCTATGTAGAGCATTGCGAAGGTCTTCAACAAATGAGCGATTGTCCTCAGTTATGAAATTCAATACAAATACATCACAGCTCCATGGCCATATCTCCTTGGACGACGACCCTGCACGTCTCTGGACATCCATTGCGAATCTGAAACCATAGTTTCTCAGTAATTAACATTCAACCACACTTGCTTCCCAAACCTGCGTGATGAAAGGATTAGTACTCGAAGATGTTTGGGTAGTTTAAACATGAGGAAAGCCCTCGCTCCTTGAAAGAAAACCTCAATGAGATATGGAAATCTAACCCCTAGCTAACCTTGCCAAACAGTCTTTCTAATTAATTATAATGTGTCTGTTTCCTTTGTTTTATTATCCTTTCTTGAAAATGTAAATAAGAGGCTGATTGATTTAAGATTAAAACAAAGACAGAAGTTGATCAGAACAGTAATATTTCATACCCAACAAACTATAAAGAACTTAACAGAATGTAACTTACGTCTCTTCGACCAAAAGTTTCTTTGCCTCTGCAACTATTTGGCCAATAACTCGTCTTTGATCTTCCCTAGAGAAAACAAGAGAAAAATAAAACAAAATAAAAAAAATACTATTACGCAAAACGTTAGCAAGTATAATTAACTCCTGATGAATAATATAGAGGTTAAGTATGTCTATTTCCAATCAATGTACTTGCGCTCAAGCGGTACATTCCTATAAGGTAAGCATCCCTGAATCATAACAAGTACAAGCAAGAATATAATGGTACTCTTGTCAACCGATAGGAAAATTGAAAGAGGGTATATTATGATTCGCTTGGGTAAATTTCGTCCAGAATTACATGAAGAAAAAACTATAGTTCCTTGATTAAAAAAAAAACTTGGGGATATAAAAACTTATGTTCTATCAAGCATAAGAATGAATATCATCTATATAAAATATAAAACTTATGATTACTCATTATAATGACCCTAAATTTTTAAATGAATTAAGTTTTCTTTCAATTAATATTTTATTTAAATTAATTTTATAACAAGTATAGAGTGATAATTTAAATAAAATTTATAGTAGTAACTTTCTTGAAGGTCCAAAGTTTGAATTTTATAAGTAAAAATTTAATTTAATTTTATTTTTAATTATAAAAAATATTTTGTGCTCGTTCTTATAATTTTTTCATGGGCCATTTCTTGTAAGTTTTCAATTCTCCTTTGAATCAGATATTTCTTACCCTCCCCTGTATTCGAAGCGGAAGCAGCGAAGAATCGAGAGAGAGAGAGAGAGAGAGAGAGAGAGAGAGAGAGAGAGAGAGAGAGTCTGAATTCTTCCTTCCTTCTCACTGCCGGTCAGGATCTTCAAACACCGCCGTTCACTTCCCTCTTCACCACCGTCGCTCGTCCGTTCCCCTTCTCTCTATCCACGTCGCTAGCTGCTGTGGGGATTGAGTCACCGAAAAACTCATCCCCTATTGTCCTCCTCTGCTCCATTCTCGTTTGGTGTTGGCGAGTGTATGTGCGTCTTCAACTTCTCTTCCTCCTCAATTATAGTTGTTACCCGTGCATATGGTAAGCTGCTTGTTTCTTTTCTCTTTTGTTTGAAGATCTATCATTTTCTCTTGTCTCTTGCTGCAGTCGATTTTTACTCATCATGGAGTGAAGTGTGCTTATTCTTTATCTCTCCTTCATCCTCAGTTGCTGAAAGTTTCGTGTGTGTGTTGGGGGTAGTTCGACTATTGCATTTGTTAGCTGAAATTTTGGTCTGTTTCTGGTTCGTGTAGCAGCTCGAAACTTTATTTTTTCCTTTTCTTCTTTGATGCAGAGCATGTATTTGTTTATAGATGTTGCCACTGAATTTCATTTGGGGGTGAGTTGCTGGGTTTTCTCTTCATTTTTGGGTTCTATAGCAGTACCAAGTGATTTTTCATAAATCATTCCTCTAGCTGAGTTATAACATTCTAATTTCTTATTGTTGCTGTCATAAAATTCTAGAAGAATTAAGGTTTATTTTTAATCAATATTAGATGTTGTGCTATTGTGGGGACTAAACTAAATTTGGTTAACGAAAGTAAAAGTTTGGGAGTTGTTGGAATTTCTTGGTGGTTCATCTCACAATTTTTTGTCAATGATAGATGCATACTCTCAATCAAGGTATTTATAATATATATATATATATATATATATAGAGAGAAGAATTTGATAAATTATGGGTTGTTAAAGCTTTCATGTTATAGCTTGGAAGAGTAGCTGTAATTATAGTTCAAGTTGTTAATTGAAAGTTTTAAAATGAGTTGTTAAAGTGGGAGAAAGAATTACATAAGATGCTTGTTTTATATTTCTTTTAATTTAGAGGAAGTTTAAGAATGATAGATATGATTTATAATGATTTATAAATGAGTATGGGTCATAAGAGACAAATGATTTACTTAAGTGTATTTGAAATATAATTGGTTAGAGTATTATTTTTAATATTGTTTGGATTGAATTTAAATATTCAGTAAGTGATTGAAAAATTTCTTGATAAATGATTTTTAGAACTATGATTTTGCGTCAAGGAATTTAGAGCACCGTTAGAATTAAAGTGGAAGATTAAGAGAAGCACGCTTTAGAATTTTAGAAAATTATAAGGTAAGTGGATAGCATCTCAACTAATTTATCAATTAATTTTTCTTATTAAAATTTATTTTGTTACATTGATTATTTTAATAATAATTATGTTGATTAGTGGATACTTTGTTAATTAAATTTTTTCATTTTTAAGTTTTAAGAAATATTACATTTTTTTGTAAATCATGCTAATGGTAATAACGTGATTGTTGAAGATTTTATTGATGAAAATTACTTATTTTGTAAAATTAGATTTATCAAATTTGAAATGTTAGTTACTCAATAAATACAAGTTGAATTTCAATTATGGAATTTCATTTTGAAAATTATTGAATTGCCACGGAAAACAATTCATGCAAGTTTGATTTTGAGAATGAGCACTATATCTTGAAAGTAATGATTTTCTCACATGTTTGAAAATGGTTTTAAAAAAGGGGGACTTTATACAGAACATTGATTGCTAACGGCAGTTCCGTTAGCCCTTGATGCGCCATGGTACACCTAGCTAGCAGGGTGTTTTTAGGAGGTGCTAGCCCCGTGCGATAGCTAACGCACATGGAATGAAGGGATGGTTATTTGTGAGCATAGTACTCACGTTTGTTTCGTGGCTTTGACCGTGTTTGGTTACTTACCCTCATGGATTGTGTGTACACGTTTGTTTCGTAACTTTGACTGCGTTTGGTTACTTACCTTCGTGGACTATGTGTCCACGTTTGTTTTCGTGGGATAAACCACGTTTGGTTATTTACTCTCGTAGACTGTGTGTCCATGTTTGTTATTTGCTTTGATAAGTCTTCATAATTATGAATTATTAATTATTTGATGGACCTATTTTCATCGATTTTCATTAATGACATATTTATAATTATTTAATGAAATTATTTTCTTTATTGAAATTACATGATAATGACATTTGATATGATATTATAATGAATCAAGAATTTATTTAAAGTTACATAAAGTCCTTTTATGATCATGTTTATTAAATATTTGTTTGTGAAAATTGTTATTTCTAGCATGCATAATTATGTTAAACTTTTTTTATACATATTTAATTATTTATTGTTGAGATGCTATTCACTAAAAATTTATTTTGGTCTCAAATTTATTATTTGATGCTGATCTTATTGCTGACCTCTAAGGGACATACAGCTATTCTGGGTGAAATTTTTCCTGACATTATCTCCCTTTTGATGTAAATATTTGAACTCACGTATTTTATTTTGAAAAGTAAGGTTAGATGCTTTACATAGCCTATAAGTATATTCTTATTTTGATGTATGTTGTCTGGTGGCTGGAACGAGTTAAACTCCTAATTGAAACTATATTTTGTGTAAAATATTGTGTTGTAGGATTTTAGGAAGATCTTATTT